CAACCAGTGCTACTCACCTATAAAACCAGTGCTACTCATCTATAAAACCAGTGCTACTCAACCAGTGCTACTCATCTATAAAAACCAGTGCTACTCATCTATAAAAACCAGTGCTACTCACCTAGTTAGATTTTCTCATCTTCTTAGATTTCATTGATATGTTTGATAAAAAATAAGATCAAACTATTTTCGATAGAAAAATCCAAGCAATGTTTAAGAATATTCTTCATAAACCTTCTAATTTATACTGCACGCCTACATACAAAACGTTCAGTGGGTTTATTGAGGAAATGACGAGCAACAAACAACAAACGAAAATTGTGTTGGTAATTTTCTAGGCTTGGTTTCACTTAGAGTTACAGCTATACATATAAAAATTAAGTTGCTCTGGTCTGAAAACGTTCTATGAAATGAATGGATAAACATCAGTTCCTTAAAGCATGTCTGAAACTTCAAGTATGAACTGCAAAACTAGCCAATATTCAACAATAATCTATACAGACGTTTGAGTGCTTTATATTAAAATCGACTTTAGAGTCCTACCAAGCAGTTACAGTCCACATCGTCACGTTCGGTCATGCTTTGTATGAAAGCTGTGAATCTTGCAATAGCCCTGCAGTGTATTCTTCATTGAAAAAAAAAACCGTGGTAAGGTTGTCAGATCCATAGCACACCACTCCTCTCTGCATGCTTTCCATAATCAATCACATGTATGAGAACGATGGTTTCCCTGCACATATTTCAACAGAAATCTGTAGTGATAGGTGACTTGACCAGTACGTTTTAGTGTGGAATAGAATAGCTTGAATACCCATTTCATTCTCCACCAACTTCTTTACATGTGACTTGTGTTGCTAGGGGAACGTGGACAGCTTTTGACACTGGTTTTAAACTCATAGACTAGAGGAAAGGCAGTTAGTCAACAACACCCACCACTAACTTCTGGGCTACTCTAATCGAATAGTGGGATTTGGCAATCATTCTTATAAAACACCCACTGCCCCAAATTCAGAGCACAATTTTTTATTTGGAGGTAATAGGGGGTGCAAAGCATGGAACCACGGAATCACGGTCCGGTATGCTGACAACTAATCCGCGCTCGGTCCCAATAAATATATAAACCTGAATAAATTTACGAAGAACATTCAAGAAAAGTAGTTTACAATTTACCACTTTGTCATCTGTAATCTTGATATCGGGACTGCTTGATTCCAAATCAGTAACTAATATTTTTTTCGTTTCTAAGAAACACTAACGTATTGGGATATTTATTTTTCCTAAACCTTCTTATGCTATTCGGAAAACATCAACTTGGCTAAAGACTGTTAAATAGAGAGTGTTTATAAAGAAAATTCCACATTTAAAATGATCATGTTATAAAGGTAATAGAATTTCACAAAAGGCAGGATGAAAATGGTGCAGAATGTTTCCAAACCTCATTATACTGTATACCGAAAATTGATTTTCTTTCAAATCAATTTTTGCTGTTACTTCCGCCATTTCTCTCTTTCAATAATAGATGAGTTGAAATATGGAATTCTCAGGTGCATTAATTTTTCTTTGAAGTAGTAGGGTAAGTTCCGCAGAATAAAAGGGGGTTTAGCAGGAAATGCTTCTCGGAAGTAAATCTGAATTTCCTGACTTGGATTGAGCCGTGAAGAATGAACGAGACTAGACACGACACAGTGTATAACAACGTGAAACACAAATCAGCCAAACTGAAAAGTGTAACCGAAAGACTTCTTCTTTGCTGGAGAGTGGAAGCTCTCAGAAAGGTCTATCTGAGTTCGGTGAAAATATACCGAAAAATATATTCCAAACTGAGAAAATACATTATATGCACACAATAGTAATACTATTCTTTCCCAGGTGTTTGTATTTTAAAGATAGCACTTAGCCTGCCAGTGGAAAATATCGCTGTCTACTTTCACACAGTATGTTCAACTGTACAGAATTATTTCCCAAGGAAAGGTGCAAGTGATACTCTAGATTAATGGCCCAGACCAATAGGTAACTATGGAGAAAGGAACTTAGCTACTTCCTTGACCATAGCTTTGTATTGAAACTACATGTGCTTAGAAAATTTTACAGAAAAATGTACAGAAAAAAAGAGATGCATTGTAGAGTACAGAATCTTGAAACTATTGTTAAACTATGTTATTAAAATAATGGGAATTTCACTTTCGTCATAAGGCAATTCCAAAAAAAAAAAAAATGAAAATCTAGTTTCTTATATGTCTCCTAAGGATGTTAAAAATTAGTTTAGTCAGTTCGATAACGCTCGGCAGCCATCTGTTGACATTATTTAGTATTGTTTAAATTATTGTTGAATATTTTTGAGCTCATGTCGACACACTGTTGTCTTATAAAATATTTTATCTTCGTTTTACAATATGCTATACCTATGAAGTGAAGCCTGAAGAAGTACTGTTGTCCAAAACGTCACTTGAAATAAAATAGAATAATCTAGATGTAGATTTCATTACCGTTTGGAATCAGTTTATATTTTAAGGGGTCTGGCATGACCTGGTGGATAAGGCGCTCGACTTGTAATCTGCAGGTTGCGGGCTTGAACCTCTTATACCGAACATGTTCGCCCTTTTAGCCGTGGTGGCGTCATAATGTGATGGCCAATCACACCATTCGTTAGTAAAAGAGTAGCCCGAGAGTTGGCGGTTATTACCTAGCTGCATTCCTTCTAGTCTATCACTATTAAATTAGGGACGGCTAACACAGATAGCCCTCAAGTAGCTTTGTGCGAAATTTGAAACAAAACAAACATTTTAAGGGGTGTTCTTTCTTTAATTCATTGCACATGCTCAGTTTATTGTTTTGTTTTGCGATTAACAGTTGACGTCCGCTATCTTGAGATTTGTGTTTGTTTCTAAATGTTAATTTTATAATGTATTTGTTTGGAAGTACAACGCTAGGGGGATTGCAAAGGGTGCACTACACCAGGAATCCAATAACAAGGTGACACCCAAACAATTTCATATTTTTAATGTATTGTATGATTATTGTTTTTTTTTATTAATTTTGCACATTTTATTACTGTTATTTGACGTAAAGGGCTCCATTTATAAGTCTCTGCATTAGGACCACGGAAAACCTGACGCCAGGCCTATTGTTTAGTTTATTATGTGTTAGCGACTTAATGTATTTCTGATTAATATCTTACGATATTCTTTATATCCCAAATATTTAGCCCGGCATGGCCAGGTGGTTAGAGCGCTTGACTCGCAATCTGAGGGTCGCGGATTAGAATTCCCGTCTCACCAAACATGCTCGTCCTTACCAGCCGTGGGGGCGTTATAAAGTTACGGTCAATCCCACTGTACGTTGGTAAAATAGTAGTCCAAGAGTTGGCGGTGGGTGGTGATGACTAGCTGCCTTCCCTCTAGTCTTACACTGCTAAATACCATATACCATAACTTAATGTTTATCGGTGTATCCTGATTTTCAAGGAAACAAACAACCGTGTACTAAAGAAAGAGAAGAGACAGGTGTGTTAGCTAATGGACAGTCTTTCGGTTGAATGTATAAAACCTACACACACACACACACATAATGAAACTAAGTATTCAAAACACAACAATGTACCTAAATAACACAATTATTCATTTAAAACCGAAAGCCATTTCTTGTGTTACAAAACAAAAATGTTTATGTTTATATTCATAAACATCTGACTTTGGAAAACTCAATTTATGTAGCTGTAAATTTGTTTATTGCTACACACAAAGCTATACAATGAGCTATCTGTGCTGTGCCATCCACGAGTATTCAAAGTAGGTTTTTAGCGGTGTGAGACCGCTGGCTGACCCAGTGGGAGGCATGGCTGTAAAATAACGTACTGTGTTAATTTACAATCCAAATTTTTACAGTGTAAAGATCAAAATGGCTATTCCACAGAAGCTGGTACTAGATTAACCACGTGTCTGTCTCTGGTATATTCATTTATACAGAAACTTGTACAAGTTACTGTGATTTGGTGATTATTTATCTTCATCCCCAAGTGGCATGTTTGCGGAATTATACTGCTAGAAAGTGGGTTTCGATACCCGTGGTGGAGAGAGCACAGATAGCCCATAATAAACAACATAACTGTGATCTGTAACACACACACACACACACATATATATATAGTGGTCCGGTGATCACCCGGTGTCCGAACTAGGACGTAAATCCTACTCCCAGATACTCACCTCCAACAGTATTTGGAGGATTGAGATACAAAAAAGTAGTTTACACTATTTCAAAAGAAACACCATACGAAACTACTACATACATATATATCCATATATGTAATAAACAACAGAACTGTGATCTGTAACACACATACATATATGTAATAAACATCATAACTGTGATCTTTAACACACATACATATATACATATATGTAATAAACAACAGAACTGTGATCTGTAACACACATACATATATGTAATAAACAACATAACTGTGATCTGTAACACACGTACATATATACATATATGTAATAAACAACATAACTGTGATCTGTAACACACGTACATATATACATATATGTAATAAACAACAGAACTGTGATCTGTAACACACATACATATATGTAATAAACAACATAACTGTGATCTGTAACACACGTACATATATACATATATGTAATAAACAACATAACTGTGATATGT